TTGGTGGAAGGGGAAGGAGAGTAGGGGACAAGGGACATTGAACCTTGGTTGTGTGAGTGAAACACCCATATGTTAGCCACACGAGCCACTACTAGGTTCATTATTTTCTCACATTTGCTGAATCAAAACATTTGGTTATTAATTTAAGTCCCACTAAGTTTGTTGTTTAGTTATCTGCAATATAAAAGTAGATTAGATTCTCAAACATATCTAATTATATTATTTATGTCATTGCTGCACTCAATGAGTATTGAGGATGGCTTTTGGGTATGTTAAAACCACAGGCTCGTTTTGTCTTATCTCTTATTTGTTAGGGGTTTCTTTGATATGAGGACCCTATTTTACAATTCGAACTAGACTGGGCTGTAAAACAGGAACCATTGGATAGAAGAAGACTTCAATATCAAGAATTTAACCCTCATTCAATAGTTAATGTTGTGCAATCTAAACCACACAACACCTTTTGCCTTTGATATTAACATAAGATGCCTGACTTCTGAGCTGTCTGGATTGGTAATGACCTATATTCCGTTTTCTTAGTGATTTTCATTTGACGAATTGTACAAATGATGAGGATTAAAGGAGTATGCATTTTCTTAGTGATATGTTTTGAAACGGCATTTTCACTTTCAACTACTTTCTTTTATATTCTTTATTATTATTATTATTTATAATTTTGGTGGGAATAGATTCAAAGAAAAAATAAAAATTCAAGCCTCTAGAAGGAGGACCCATGTGAAGTACCTAGGAACTTTCACACCGGGAGCATGGCAAAAGAAAAATGTTATGTATACAGTTCAAAAAATAAAGACTTTCTATAGAGTCTTCGAACTCATTACAAGACAAGAATTCCCAACCACCAGGGTACAAGACATAAGGTACTATTGGGGAAAATGAGTAAATCTGGACTAAACTGCAAACTATTAGTTGTAGCATCGTTCTTTTCCAAACCCTTTTTCAAGTTGCAGGCGTCAACCTTTCAAAGTTAAAAATTCTACGAAAAGCATCTTCCTAGAAGAGAGATAAAGGCATAAAACACATAGAAGAAGAAGAAGAAAAGAAACAGACATGTTTTGCCCTTCTTCTTTTTTTCGATCTTGGTTTCACAATGAGAGGTAACTATTTCTCATCTGTTATTTTACCCCACCTGTATACTATGCAACTCGAACTCAGAACTTTTTATTTTTAATGGAAAAAGATTATCACTAAACTATTTAAGTTATTAGGGACATGTTTTGCTTTAGTTTAAAGTCAAGTGGTCAATTATTTTTTGGCTAATTATATTATATTTTTATTAGGAAATTGCACATCACAATCATATGTTAGTCGATGGAAATGACCATCTGCTGATATGGAAATTGGTATCAACAAGAAAATTTAATGTTGGAATTGAAAGAAAAGATGCCCTCTCCTCTATTATATAAATAGGGTTAGGAGATCACCCTGCTTAGCATATAACACATGTAGAAACATTTTCAATACCTTAAATATGAAAAGTTTTCTAAAGTCTTCTTTTATTCTCTTTCAGATTTTCTGGTTTTCCTTTCTTCCATTAAAGATCACAGCTTCACCAAGAGCACAAGCAGAAGCTCTTATACAATGGAAGAACAGCTTATCTTTTTCACCACCTTCTCTGAGTTCATGGTCCACCAACAATATTGGCAATCTCTACAACTGGACTTCTATCATCTGTGATAGCTCCACTGGAATGGTTTTTGAAGTCAACCTCAGCAATGTAAACATCACTGGATCACTAGCCCAGTTCAACTTCACCTTATTTTCCACTTTGACCCACTTTGACCTCCATAATAACAATCTTGTTGGATCAATACCACCAGCCATTGGTAACTTGTCCAAGCTCACTCACCTGGACTTAAGCAACAACAATTTGATAAATATTGTGCCTGTGGAGATAGGGCAATTGGCAGAGCTTCAGTATGTCAACCTGTTTAACAATAGTCTCAATGGTAGCATCCCTTATCAAGTAAGTTATCTTCAAAAGGTATGGTACTTAGACCTTGGATGGAATTACTTAATAGATCCTGATTGGTCCAAGTTCTTAGACATGCCTTTGTTGATTCATCTTGGATTTTCAAATGATGCCTTAAAATTAGTTTTCCCTCCTTTTATCATCAATTGTCGAAATCTTACTTTTCTAGACTTGTCAATCAATTCCTTAACTGGCACAATACCAGAATCAGTGTTCACCAATTTAATTAAGCTTGAGGCTTTCAATCTTACTCATAATTCATTTGAGGGTCCACTGCCATCAAACATTTCCAAGCTTTCTAAGCTTGTATCTCTTCAACTAGGAGCCAACAAATTTAGTGGTCCAATTCCTGAGAGTCTAAGTCTTTTGTTTGAGCTTGAAATTCTTGAATTGTTTGAAAATTTTATAGGAGGTATCATTCCCTCTTCTTTTGGTAAACTAAAGAAACTCAAGAAACTTGATCTTCATTCCAATTCCTTTAATTCTACCATCCCTTCTGAGCTTGGTTCATGTACCAATCTCACCTTTTTGGCTTTAACCGAGAATCAACTCACTGGTCAACTACCTTTATCTTTCTCCAATTTGGTTAGAATCTCTGAGTTGGGTCTTTCCAATAATTTTCTTTCTGGTCAAATCCTTCCTTTTCTTATTGGCAATTGGACCCAATTGATCTCATTGCAACTTCAAAACAATAATTTTATCGGTAAGATTCCATCTGAAATTGGCTTACTAACAAAGCTGAGGATTCTCTATTTGTTTAACAACATGCTTTCAAACTCCATTCCTTCAGAGATTGGGAATTTGAAAAATCTTGTAGAATTAGACCTTTCAGGAAACCAACTTTCTGGCTCTATTCCTTTAACTCTGTGGAGTCTCACAAGCCTTCAAAAGTTGCAGCTGTTCTTTAATAATCTCAATGGCACAATCCCTCCAGAGATTGGAAATATGGCATCTCTGCAATCTCTTGATCTCAACACAAACCAACTGTCTGGGGAATTACCAGAGAACATTTCTAGCCTTACAAATTTAGCTGCAATCTCTTTATTCACCAATAATTTCTCAGGTATCATCCCTAAAGATTTTGGGAAACACAATCCATCTTTATGGTATGTGAGTTTCTCAAACAATAGCTTCTCTGGAGAACTCCCACCTGAATTGTGCAATGGCCTCAATCTTCAAAATATCACTGTCAATGGCAATAAGTTCACTGGCTCATTGCCAACTTGCCTTAAAAATTGTCCATGGTTAAAAAGGGTTCGATTTGACGGGAACTTGTTTACAAGTGACATCACAAATGCATTTGGGGTGCATCCATTCCTAACTTACATTTCTCTCAGTGACAATCAATTTATTGGGGAGATCTCTCCACAGTGGGGGCAATGCCAAAATCTCACCAATCTACAGATGGACAGAAACAGAATTTCTGGCCAAATACCTGTAGAGCTTGGTAAATTGAACAAGTTGGGTGTTCTTAGTCTCAGCTCAAATGATTTATCTGGAAATATTCCTGATAAATTGGGAAATTTAAGCATGTTGTTCAATTTAAGTCTAAGTAAAAATCACCTAACTGGAGAGATACCTCAGAGCATAGGGCATTTGCAGAATCTTCAATTTCTTGATCTGTCAAGGAACAACTTGAGTGGGAGTATACCAAAAGATATTGGAAATTTGAAAATTTTATTGAGCTTGGACTTGAGCCACAACAATTTATTTGGTAGCATCCCAATTGAGCTTGGAAACTTAGTTTCAATTCAGATCACATTTGATTTAAGTAGTAATTCATTATCAGGAGCAATCCCCCAGGATTTGTCAAAACTTGCATCATTGGAGAATCTTAATGTTTCACATAATCATTTCTCTGGCACTATTCCAACTAGCTTATCTAGCATGGTTAGTCTCCTCACAGTTGATTTCTCCTATAATGAGTTGATAGGTCCAATTCCGATTAGTGGACAGTTTCAAAATGCTTCTAGTGAAGCCTTTGTTGGAAACTCAGGTTTGTGTGGAAATGTTGATGGATTGACCCTTTGTAGTTTAAGTTCCAACAATAGCAAGCCTAGTAAGATTAATACTAGGATTCTTATTGTTATACTTGTTCCTGTGTGTGCCCTTTTTGTTCTAATATCAATTGCTGTGTTGATTCTATTGCATCATGGTTATAACAAACCACATGATGAGGAGGCTAAAAGTAGTGAAAGCTCTGAGAGTTTTGAGACAATGATATGGGGAAGGGAAAGGAAAGTCACGTATGGTGAAATTGTAAGAGCTACAGAAGATTTTGATGATAAGTACTGCATTGGAAAAGGAGGATTTGGAAGTGTTTACAAAGTCTTGTTGTCCAAAGATCAAGTAGTTGCTGTTAAAAAACTCAATATACCAGACTCTAATGATATCCCAACTACAAATTGCCAAAGTTTTGAGAATGAGATTCGTTTTCTAACAGAAGTTAGGCACCGAAACATCATCAAGCTGCATGGATCCTGTTCAGCAAGGGGATGCATGTATTTGGTTTATGATTACATTGAGAGGGGAAACTTAGCAAATGTACTATATGGAGTTGAGGGAGAAGTGGAGCTGGGATGGGCTGCAAGGGTGAGAATTGTGCAGGGATTGGCTCATGCCCTTGCATATTTGCATCATGACTGCTCTCCCCCTATTGTTCATCGAGATATCTCCTTGAATAACATCTTGCTCGAGTCAAAACTCGAGCCAAAACTCTCAGATTTTGGCATTGCAAGGTTGTTGGATCCAAATTCTTCTAATTGGACAACAGTTGCTGGATCTTATGGCTACATGGCACCAGGTAAAGCTCACATTAGATAGATGTATGTTGATTAATAATGTTTCCTTACCAATGACA